ACAACAACAACAACATCTGTTACATTGACTGTCGCCTGTGCTGTTTTTTATATAATGTATGTCTATACAGATAATTTACAAGATATTTGATTTTTTTGTCTGCTATTAAATCACTCCAGGAAAACAGCACAATGTGGCCATTACCTGTGAAAATTTTCTGCAGAGATGAAAAAGGAGAACGCGTTGATGTTTCTAAATACTTGATTAAGAAGGGTTTGGCTTTGAGGGAAAGGAGGTATAGTCTTTTATTCGGAACAGAGGGTTGGAGGGGAAGTGGGCATCTCTTTGTGATGGGACACTTCTTAACTACCTATTTAAATCTTTGTATCTGTCTGTGCTTTCAAAGCAAATTATAATTTGATTGCTCTTAAAGATAACTTATAAACTAATCCTCAGGAAACCATCTCAGAAACAGATTTCTTCAGATTGTATCTTTATTCATACTTACCAGTTCTTGCATGCCTAAACCTCTACTTAAGTACATACTTTTATAGCTTCTTGTCTTTTGACATTTTCTCTAAATCAAAGAAAGAGCATTATACAGTGGGTACCAGATCTGAAGGAGATGGTGGATATGTGGATGCTTAAGTACTTGTCTACCAGCCAAAATGTTGGTGGTTTGAAACCCACCCAGAGGCACCTTGGAAGACAGGCCAGCCATTCTGCTTCTAAAAGGCCCAGCCTTGAAACCCTGTAGAGCACAGCTCTATTCAGGACTAACTCAGGGCTGACCAGTAACAATCACCACCAGATCTGAGCCACTTGGTATCCTTTGCTTAGATGGCAGTGTTTAAGTTTTGTGTTGGAAATTCTGTTAGGTAGGAAATTCAACAAGTATAACTACTAAGGTTTCCATTTTTACAAGAACTCTCACAAGTTCTCTCAGTAATCCACTTATCGTAGTCTCCTTCATATACCTTAAATTAAAAAATCCCAGCCAAAATAAGTGGCTTCTGAGGGGATCTGCTGGGCCAGTTAAATTCAAGGCTCAGAAGGTTATAGCAACTGTTTTTTAGGAATTCCCAAGGGGTAATCTTGATAGATTTTTTTAAAGGACACAGGAAGTCGCAGGGGGCTGTATTGGTAAGAAAAAGACCAGTAAAGTTTTACCAAGGGATTTTTTCCCCCCCCGTTAAAACCTGCTCATTTTCCAAGGGTAGCAAGGACTATCCTATGATAATTTCATTGGGAAACCCTATCCCATCTACCCTACAACCTGATCTTGCCCAAAACTCAAAGAATATTTGAAAAGAACAAGATTTGAGTCTATCAAAGATGGCCAAAACTGCTACCTTGACATAGGGAAAATCTAAAAGTGCAGAATTCTTCAGGGAGTGGTTACAGAGATGGAAATACCACTTTCAGAAGTGTATAGACCTAGATAGAAGATACACCAAGAAACAATAGCTTTATATTTTCATATTCTTGGTTAGAAAAGATTTTTATGACTTGCAGCAATACTTTTTGACTTAGCCACGTTTTGGAGGATTCTTTTTTATATTGTTTACCCCAGAATTCTATGTTCACTTTTGTTTTATATTTGATATATGCTCACTTTTGTTTTATATGTTTTATTTTTGGATGTTTCAGATTTCATAAATTAGGTAACAGTGATTTGTTCTCTGAGAAGTCTCTCAAAATCTCCCTGGAACATAAAGATTCCGTAGTTACAAAGTGTAATAAAAGTGACTATGACCCTGACAAAAAAGCTGCGGATACCTGTGAACACACGGTATCTAAATTTAAGGAGAAAATTTTAGAACCAAAAACGACTGGATGCTACAAACCACCAACTATTCCTAACGTGAAAGTGTTTGAAGCAGTAGTCAGCTGCATTGGTGATGATGGAACTATTTTTGTAGTACCTAAAATGTCAGGTAAGATCTTTTATATTGTGTACGATTAGTCAAGTAATAGGTATTAGCATCAGTTCTCTAGTAAGATGAACATGGATTGAAATAACATTGGTGTGACTCTGTAGGATCAACACTGGACTCAGCCACTCCTTGGAAACCCTATACAGAGCCGCTATGGGTTGGAACCATTTCGATGGCACTTAACAACAAAGTTGGCATTAGTTTGTATGCCATTGTGCCTTTAATTTGTATTTCTTTTTTTATTTACAATATTGTACATCTTTTCTTATATTTGAAGCACTGGTATTCCCACTTTTGCAGAATACCTATGTTGTTTGCTTATTTTCCATTAGGTTATTGCTTTCAGATTATTAGGTCTTAACATATCTCAGGTATTTATCTGTCTTTGGTTTTATGTGTAGCAAATATCTTCTCTCAATTTCTAAGTTGTCAGTTGTCATTTTAGGTTTCTAGAAGAAAAAAATGAAAACATTGCCATCAAGTCAGTTCTGACTCATTGTGACTTCCCTGTAGGCCAGAGTAGAACTGCCCCAAGTCTGTGATCTTTACAGAAGCTGACTTCCACGTCTTTCTACTATAGGGAAGCTAATGGATTTGAACCATTGACAACTTAGTTAACAGCTGGTTCTTTAACCACTGTGCCACTAGGACTCCTTTCTGGAAGAAAAACCCATTGCCATGGAATTGATTACAACTCATCGTGACCCTATCTAGAGTTTCTGAGACTCAAACTTTTTGAGAGCAGATAGCCTCATCTTTTTCCTGCAGAGTGACTGATGGGCTTGAACTGCTGACCATGTGGTTATTATATTGCACCACAAGGGCTATTTTTCTGGAAGAAAAAAATTTTAATTTTAACATGATTGTGTATCTGGGTTTTTTTTTCCTGTCCTTGCATCTTTTTTTTTTTTTAACTTAATGGTGAGATCTGAGATTAGGAAAACATTTCACCATAGGATTTTGTAAAATGTTTGTAATTATGCTTTTTACATTGTCTTTATCCATCCTGGTATTGAACTTTGGAAATATATTTAGGTATTTTCATAGGTTTAATCAATTGTTCAGCCATTTACTTAATACTGCACACATTCCCCAGTGATCTGCGGTGCTGCTGCCTTATTGAACATCAAGTTTCCATATAGGCCTGAGTTGTTTCTGAGCTCACTGTTTGGTTTTATTGCTCTATTTGTTCATACCTGCACCAACACCACAATGTCTTCTTCAGTAAATGCTCTTCTGTTCTGTAAGATGTGTACAGTTTATTTAATATTCTGTAAAACTTGAAATCGATTGGGATCCGTCTCCCTGTCTTGTTCTTCTTTAAGTGTATCTTGGGTCTTTAGCTCTAAATCATATATTTTCTTCACCCTGTTGTTCTTTTGTGATACACTGTGTGCAGAGTATTAGAAGCTCAGAAATGTTAGAGTTCAGGAAGGAGAAGTTTTGAGAAACATCATATACCTCACTAGCTTTGGAAATACAGACAAAAAAAAAAAAGAAATTGATAAACCATTTTTAGGGATAGAAAATTTAAGGGAGGAGGGAAAAGAAATGGTACAAAGATAAAAAAAAAAAGGAGTCCAATTTGTAGAATCTAGATGTTGAAATTTAATAGAATGAATGAGCGTCAGTGCGATGGTGTTGTTGACAGGGAGCCATTGTCAGTCATTGAGATCTTCGTGAGCTGCTCTCCTGATCAGGATTGTGAATATATAAATCCTCGAGAATGGGAAACTTCTGGAGCTGCCTCCCCCTTTCTATTTTTCTTGTTTGTTTTTGCACACCACAAGGCAGCAATGAATTGAGAACGTAGAAATTCATGTTGTTCCATTGTCTGGACAGTCTTTTAAGTATTCATGCAATATTAAATAGGATTTACTGCTAAATCAGCTCCTAGTTAGAATTAGCAAAAATGGTTCAGCCCTTTTCTTTGTTTCCCTTATTTTCCCCATGCTGGGCGGAAGAGTAAAGGTAGTGCCAGGTTTTTCAAGCCTGGCACTTAAGCTGTTTTAGCAACTCTTTCAAAACAAAAAACAAATGTTTATGTTTATTTAGACTGACAAAAATCACAACAAATTACTGGAGAGTGCAGTAGTTTGGAATATTCAGGTCATTCTCAAGATTACTGTAAGCTTCTGTGTGAATGCTTACTGACTACAGCCTGAGGCTCCAGAATGTTCTTTAACTCACAGCAGCTCTAGCAATCACAGGACCTCGTAGTTGTTAAGTGCCATCATGTCAGTTCCAACTCATAGTGAGCCTGTATGGTGTTTCTGAGGAGCGTCTGGTGTGTTTGAACTGCCAAACAGTCTGGTGCTTATCCTACATTGCCACTTCATTAGCTCATAGTAACTCTCCCTATGGATAAGCATATGGTGAATTTGCTACAGTTTTTACCTGTTTTGTCTCTTAAATACTACATACTGTTTAAAAAAAGAAGAAAAAATCTGTTCAAAGAAGAAATCTAAAAGAAGTGATCAATTCTTGAGACCTCTAGCAGTAATACTTAATACAGATGCTGCTTGAAATGTCTGATGAATCTTAACTAAAACGTATTTGCCTTTATGGGCCATTCAGTGTGCTAAATGCTTAATATTTAATCCTCAGCCCTGATAATACAGATTGGCATTATTATGTCCAATTTATAGAAGATTAAACTGTTAGAGGTAAAGGAACTCCCCAAGGTCACACAACTGAAGTGGTAGAACTAGGGTGAAAACTGAGTCCGTTACTCGCTTTCTTTGGAATCCAATTCAGGGGAGATAAAATTAATTGTTTAAATAATGGGCCAGGTAGCAGTAAGTAACAAACTTCAGAATTTGAATTTTATACTTGTAGCATTGTACTATATCTAAGCATAAGGTGTAATACATGACTTATGTTCTATTTTATTTAGTTATACTGTCAAGCTGACACTGTCTAGAACTGGTAGTTCTTTTATATTAGGCTGTCTGGTATGCTTAGAGTTTTTAATAAGATTTGTACTCTGAAAATATTATTTTGTAATCAGAGATCAGAATAATTATTTGCAAGTCAGTTGTATATGTTTTATAACAAACTACTGATTGAAGTAGTTTTATTAAAACTCTGTTTATGTGGTAACTAATATTTAATACCTTATTGTATACTTCATGGATTTACTAAGATATGGTAATTGCTACCTAATGAAAAGTAAAGGGAATTTTTCCTAAATGTTTTATATTTAATAATTCCTTCAGAATTTGAGCTAATAAATATGATGAATGAGATTCAAAATAATTTAAAATGCCTTGGCCTTTTGGAGCCTTACTACTGGAAAAAAGGAGAAGCCTGTGCAGTAAGAGGATCAGATACTCTGTGGTATCGAGGCAAAGTAATGGAAGTTGTTGGTGGCACGATCAGGGTGAGTCCGATATTCTTTTGTGATCTTCTGAGCCTCGATGGTGTTTTGAGCCTAAAATTACAAAACTTTGTTTAAAACATCTTTTAATATGTTCATTCAGTCAGATACACTACATTTTTATTTATAATAAGAATTTTTTGTTTTGTTTTCAAATATATTTAATAACCCGAATAACAAAAAATATTTATAGGTAGAGATTTGTCCACTGGGTAGACCACTGATTTCTATGTAGAATTCCTATTTGCATACAGAGTATGAAACAAAATAACCTGTTTCCTGTATAGGAAATGTGCAAGATCCAGCTAATCTTTCAGGGAAATGATTACTTTACCTTCATCACTCAAGTTCTACTACAAAGTTTTAGAAATGTGTGTGTAATTTGAAAAAACATGTGTATCTAAAAATAGAGATAAAAATACCTCCATTTCACCACAATGCATTCACTACTTAAAGCATTAAGTAAGATTGGTAAACGACTTAATCAGGCTTTCAGCACTGGAAACTTTGAGTTTTAATAAGAAGGGAGGAATAATTCAAGAGTAAAGTCTTATCTGTTTTTACTGTCAGTGTTTATTTTCTATCTGATGGTTAAATCTAACAATTACAGAGCACTTCAGATATTCATGCTTCTTTCAAATACGTGCATTCATATTTTATGCGTTTAGATCATTTTATAATCACAGATGTAGATTCTTATTCCTATCTCCTCCTTTTTAAGTGTCATCAAGTCAGTTCTGACTCAAAGCGACCCTGTATAGGATTTCTAAGGAGTGGGTGGTGAGTTTGAACTGATGACCTTGCACTTCAAACCAAGCTTTCAGTCGAGTGCTTATGAAGAAAATTGAGCTTTACGTTGATTGATGTGCTCAAAGTCACCCAGCTAGTGAGTGGCGATGAGGGAGTTCATTGTACCTAAGCCTCTGATTCCTGCCTGACTTATCCAGTGGCTTAGGCTTTTTCAGCTGTGCTAAGATTTCATAGTTTCACTAGAAATAAAAAGGCTTTAAGCATCTGGATACTTAAAGATAAATGTGTTTATATGCAGATAGGTCAGCTTTCACTTAATTTGAAGTTATCAGATAATCCATACTCTTTTTCTGTCATACAGAATAAATTGAAATTCAGCTGGCTTTAAGTTATCATAGTTTATGGACTATACGTAACTGGAATCCACATAATTTAAGATGGTTCCTGTTAAGTGCTGTTGAGTCGATTCCAACCCATGGCGACCCTCTTAAAATTTCTCATACTGTCTAAATCCCTCAGTTTATAGTAATTTATCTAGAAGTATTTTGCTATTTTAATCACCTTTTTCCTGTAGTTACTTTACGTTTCAAGTATATGTTGTACATTTTCCATTCTTTATCCTGATATCTTTTCAAAATTTATTGTATGATCCACATTAAGAAATCCTATATTTTGATTCAGTATACATGTATGTAAGTATATAGCTAAAACTTAATGTGAAATTATAGTCACTCCACCTACCTATGATGTACTCAGATATTTTTTATTCAATTCTGTTTCATTTTTTAAATGCTAATTACCAAGCCAACCAAACTAGACAATGATATGTTCAATTTGGGGGGACAGAAGAAGCAACTTACTCGTATTTCTTATTCTTAAAACTATTTATATAATGAATTACCAGAATTGTAGTATTTCATAAAGGGACTCCTCAAGGAATTTGTAAAGCTAATAAAACCTAGTATGTATAAAAAGGGGAGAAAATGCTTTGGCACATAAGTTATATATCAGAAACTAGATTGACAGTGAAGTTTGATATTTGACACACCATGGGATGATGGAGTGTAGCATGCCTTTTTTCAAACTCAAATTTAGTTCTTTCCGGAATGTCTTTTTAAAAAAATACTGGAGTTCCTTCTCCACTTTAGTGATAAATTTGAATTACAATTTTTATTTGGTGTATTTCAGGTACAATATTTAGATCATGGATTCATTGAGAAGATTCCACAATGTCATCTTTACCCTATTTTGCTATACCCTGATACGCCCCAGTTTTGTATTCCATGTCAGCTCTACAATACCATACCTGTGAGTCAACCCTAATTTGTGAGATGACTGATTCTTAATGTTTTTATTAATAATTTTAAGGAGTTAGAATGTAAAGCAAAAATCCCTTTCAGTTGTAACAAAAATGGTAACATACCTAGAAATAACTTTAATCAAAAGTACAAGAACTAAGTGAAGAAAATGACAAAATTGTATTAAAGGATATAAAAAATTGGAACAAGAGGCAAAATATGTTCATACATGGAATATATCAAAGTAAATATATTCCTTCATTATTTAAAATTATAATAAATTTAGAAATCAGATAAAGAAATCGCCTATTATCTCTTTGTGGCTCAAAGATTGAGAGCAGGTTGACTGGGCCATTCTGGTCAGTGTAGTAATCTCAAGAACTGACTGGGGATGGAGGGCCCATTCACTCACGTGTCTGTTGGCCTCAATTCCTTCCCATGTCATCCTCTCAACATATAAAATAAAAATATAACATTTACTGCTCTTAAATAAGTATACCTTACAGGTGTTGTACAAGCACCGCATTGGGATAGTGGTCTCTATTTAAAGTTTTAAATGTGATATTTTGTTTTTAGTATAGGTTTATAGTTTTATAGTGTGTACCATCAGTGAAAACTTAGTCAAATAATTCGTTTCTTAAGATTGTTTTTATCATACATCATTGATATTCTCTGATAATTGTTTGCATGTCTACTGTTGTCTGTTTATGGCAACTTTAGTATGCCTTAATTTGCTTCCTGTGTTGTCTGTGTTTTATGAAAGTGTAAAAGTACCTGAGTTTATTACTCCCATTAGGTCGGGAATGTCTGGCAACCAGATGCAATAGGACTCCTCCAGGAACTGCTGTCAAAGAGAGAGGTGGAAATTCACATTATGGTAATTTGTATTTAAAACATACGTGTTGTTGTTGTTAAGTGCTGTCAGTTACAACTCATAACAACCTTATATAGGGTTTCAAAGACAGGAAATCTTGGCAGGAGCAGAAAGCCTCATCTTTCTCCAGCGGAGCAGTTGGTGAACCAGAACCGCAGACCTTATGGTTCGCAGTACAGTGCTTGTCCTGTAGAGTCACTGTGCTCCCATCAAACACATCATTTGCCACAAAGTGTTATAACTAACATTATTTGAGATTTATTTTTAGCAATCAATTTTTTATCATCCTATATAAATGTGAATTTTTCATTAACATAAAAGGAGCTATGTTTTGTTTTTAATTTTTTAACAAAAAGAATTCTTTGATTCTTAGGTTCGAATAAGCCTAATTTTGAGCAAGTTTTTGAAGTGTCCTAAGCATTAAAGTTAGTAATTTGAAAAATTCATTAACAGTGACTTGCTTTGTACCAGGGAGCATTGTATTAAAAAATTGGAGGTATTATGTATACTTGGAGTCATTTTCAGTAGGATATTATGTATGTAACGCTATGTTAAAGGAGCTTGGGTGGTGGTGTAGAGTAAGCACTGGACTGTCCACCACACGATTTGCAGTTCAATCCCAACCTCTCCATGGGAGAAAGTTGAGGCTGCTCTCATAATGGTTTAGTCTTGGAAACCCTATACCGAGTCACTGAGTCAGAATTGGCTCTATAGCAGTGGGTTATGGTGGGTTAAGTCAGGGGCTGGGGGTTTGAGAAGCATCTACCATGATCCCTGTCCTCGACCACCTTTAGTTTGTAAGATAGCATGTATCCCTAAAATATTAACACCACAAAGTAGGATGCGGAGAGCTAACTGACTGACTGGTAAAAGTACTGCAGTAGGAATTGCCAGATGGTGAGAGCTTAGGTAACCCTTTACAAAAGATGGTAACCTTTTTCTGGCTGGAAAAAGGAATGGAGAGACAGAAGTAAGAGTGTATAATTTTAGTAACTAGTTTCACTATTTGACTAGAATAATAGAGATTTTCCAAGGAGCAGCAGTAACTAATAGTATTCATGAGAGGTAGGGGTCATCATCAGTGATGCTGCCCTGGAAGTTTGAGCAGTGTGGTAATCAGAATAACTTGAGGGGTGCAGTTCCTGAGACGGTGGTCCTTAGACACCCTTCAAGCCTGGAACTGAACCCACCCCTGGGTGGGTATAAACTTTTAGCCATACAGTGTTGTGTTTTTGTTAGGTGCCATGGAGTCAGTTCCAACTCATAGCAACCCTGTGCATAGTAGAGTGAAACACTGCCGGGTTCTGCACTGTCTTTACAATCAGTAGACAGGTCTGTAAAGGGAGGGATGTACTCCTCAGTACCACCAACCATATCAGACCAACAAGGCATCATTTTCCAACAACAAAGCTCAGGAGACGGTCCAAACCCACTAGCCACTCTACAGGAGAAAGATGAGGCATTATTCTGCAACCATGAAGATTTACAGCCTCGGAAACCCTATATAGGGTCCCTGTGAGTTGGAATCAACTCATTGGCAGTGAGTGGGGTTGGGCTAGAGAAGACATCACTATTAGGGTGACAGTTGATGGTGAGAGGAAAAGCCATGCAGCTACTTGGGAGAAAAGTGCAAAGACCCCCAAGGTAGGAGTATAATTGGCATGCTTGGGGAAGGACAGGCAAAAAAGCCCCTGCAGTAGGAGCAGCCGAGCAGAGGGAACTAGTGGTAGGCTGCGGAAGGAGAATTGTTACCACTAGAGGTTTTGAGCGAAGGAGTGATGTGATCTAACATTCCATTTTCATATTTTCACTCTGGCTGCTTTATTGATAAACTACTGGATGGTACAAAAAGAAGTAGGGAGATCTGTTAAGGAGACAACAAAAATAATGCAGTACAGATAGGAGGTAGTACCGGAAGTGATGAGAAACGGCCATCTTTATCAGTCGTATTTAATAGCCAGTAATTATAAATGGGCTTTACTAAGAGTTTGAAAGCCATTATCATTGTTTCACTGACGATGTGGCTGTCTGCTTTCCTAAAACATTTACAGCCTCAGAAACTCTCTGGGGCAGTTCTGCTCTGTCCCTTAGGCTTGCTAGGAGTCTGAATTAGCAGGGGCGGGGGGCAGTTTGTTTTGTCATGACGTCTTATTTTAGACTGTTGTAAATTTTCTGATTAATAATAGTTTTGGATTTTCGCCAAACTTCATTTCTTCACAACTGAGCATGCCTAATACCATTTAAAGATGATGTAGAGAAGTAAATAGCAGGAAAATTCTATAGATTCATAAGTAATGTTTATATTAACCAAAGAAATGTGATTAATGTTTTATAACCTGCCAAATTACCAGGAAGACAATTTAAATAAATCTAGTCTGGTCAAATTGTGATAAAATGGTGATTGTCAGAAGTCTACTTTCATATCGACCTGCTATAAAATTATAGTCATCAAGCAAACTTTGTTTATAATGATCTTTATTGAACTTGTAGACACTACCTGAAAATCCATGGGAGAAGTTATCTATTCTTCTCTATTTCGATGGAATGTCACTTTCTTTTTTTATGGCATACCATACGTATTGTACAGTTGGACATTCTGAGGAAGTGTTGAAAGAAGTAAGTGAACAGTTTTTCTATTTTGTTTAAAGTTCACATTTTGTCTTGTACTACAATTCTAAATATAACTGTATATATCTGCAATTTTAAGAGTCTAGAGAATTTGAAATTCTTAATGGGCAAAACAGTACGCTCTGTCATGCTTTTATAAATGCTGTGAAGTAAGACTTTAATTTCATTAAGATTCAGTTAATGTTTCTGTATCTTAACGAGTCTTGTTAACAAAACAACTAGGTAATTGTTTATCTGATGTTTCAGTGTAGGGATGTGTGTTGTACAGTTTTCACAGACTTCACTGTGAAAAAGGCCTCTTGCCCCAGATAGGAGTCCAATGTGGCACGGGACTGCAAGGTTGGTTTGAACTGCAAGGTTGGTGGTTCAAGCTCACTATTCACTCCTCGGAAACCCTATACAGGGTTGCTATGAGACAAAACCGACTCTATGGCACTTAACAACAACAACAATATCCTTAATAAACATCATTTTGTGTTGCATGGTGCCATAAATCCTCTACAGAAATAGGGTACACATCATGACTAAAATCATTAAGATTTTTATAGAAATGTATTTTTTCATTTTAACTTTTTATTGTGAATTAAGTGAAGCTTTGCAGACCAGATCTTTATGTTTACATTCAACAAATTATATACGTTGCTTCATCTCAGTGATTACAATCCCCTCCATGCAATAACAGTTATCAGGTTTCCTCCCTTCTCAACTATGCCCTTTTCATATTGAATGATTGACCATCCCATGGTGAGGGTACTTTGCTAGTGTTGTCCCTTCCCTCCCACCCCCATGGCCTTATAAACCTATCTACTGCCTGGCTAGAAATTGGGCCACAAGGGTGAGTTCCTCTCCAGACCTGAAGGGTAGTCAAGGGTCATAGTCTCTCTTAGGTTCCACTAGTCTCTTTTTGACCAGTAAACCCAGTCTTTTTTTTTTTTTTTAATTAAATAATTTTGAATTTTATTCCACATTTTCTCCCACTGTTTCCAGGACCCTCTACTGTGATACCTTTCAAGGCAGATGATAGTTCTTCTGGTCTCCAAGTCGTGGAGACTGATGGTCACAGATTCCATTAGTCCACTGAAGTAATTGATTCCCAGTCTGTTCAGTTCTTATCGCGCTTCTTTCTTACACACATGGAGCGGCACCTTACTTGTTCATTTCTTTAAAATTCATTTTAGTGATAGTCAGTAATCAAATCTTGAGTTTTCTGTTCAATATAGAGAAATACCTTTTCTCTATAATAAAAATTGAGATTTCTGCCAACTTTTTCTCATGAGCCCAGGGAAGAATGTGAGTGTATGCATGCTTATTCATGTTTGTAGAAAAGCTGTTCTGCTTTTTGAGCTGGTTTATAAAGATTACTTAGTTTTTCTCTTCCACTTGTATGATTCAACGTGAACATTCTAAAGAGAAATTAAGAGCTCCCACTTTCTTATAATAAACTAATTACCACAGACATGTGTTTAGCATAATTTTGAAGATTCTTATTATTGAAATGTTAACTTAGAATAGTAGTTCTTCCTGTAGTTTGGAGTCTTGGTGGCACAGTGGCTAAGTGTTTGCCTGCTAACCAAAAAGTTGACCATGTGAACCTGGGTGCCAGTCACTCTACAGGAAGAAGATGTAGCAGTCTGCTTCCATAAAGGTGACATCCTTGGAACCCTTATGGGACCATTTTATTGGCCTGTAGGGTCACTGAGTCAGAATCGACTCAACAGCAATAGGTCTGATGTTTATTTTCTAGTTGAAATCACTTAAAAGTTGTCAGTAAGGATAAGCACCCAAGTTTTTGTGGGAATGAAATGTTACGAAAGTATTTTAAAATAATACGATGTGATTAAATTTGCTAATATATTTCAGAAACCAACAGATTGTAACAAAAAGTTTGAAGAGGAAAGTTGGGCGATAAGGTTTGAGGTAAGTTTCAACACAAATATTTTGGGAACTTAGGAAACTTCATAAATATAAAAGGGCTGACAAAAATTCAGAAATAATATCCTTTGTTTTTTAAATAACAGCTTTACTGAGATAAAATCTGAATACTGTAAGATTCACTCTTGAAGTACAAAGTCAGTATTTTTGCAGTATTTTTATAAAGTTGTAAAACCATCTGCCGACCTTGTGGTTCACAGTCCAGTGCTGACCCTGCAGCAGCACAGCAGATTACAGCTAACAACCTAGGAACTCCTGTAGGGTAGTTGTGCTCTGTCATGCTCTGTCAGTTTTAATCGACTCTGTAGCATAAAACAGTGTCTAAGCATGTATACAGAAATAAAGTTAGACCTTTTTTTTTTTTTTCCAAAACCTTTAAAAACAGTTTTCAAATTGGGGAACAAAAGAATACTAACAGTCTTTTGTTTAGTCGCCACATTTTGGTCCTACTAAATAAGACCATTTTGCAGTATTCAGTATCTTAACAGTGCTTCCTTTTTGCAAAGAAACTAAATTGGCATTCTGATAAATTTTTATAATGTACTGGGTTTTTGGAATTACCATTCTGAAATTTGAATTTATTTGTGGTGTTTTAGGAATTACTTTTATCTGAAACTGAGACGCCTATTCTCCCACCATATTTGTCATCATCTCTACCTCCTCCAGAAGAACTCTATGCTGTTCAAGTTAAGCACGTTGTCTCACCTAATGAAGTAGGTAATCGAAGTGATTAGTTGGTGCTTCAAATCCTAAGCAATCTTGCTCTTAAACTGTAGGATTGACTTCTTATTTCCACCTCCATGACTTTAAATGACTGAAAATCAGTGACTTCTGCATTGCCCCACCTTCAGATTTCCTTTTCAGGCATTTGTTTGCATTTCATAAGGCATCTGTTTTATCAAGTGTTTCTTGTTAAACACTTGCTGGGTTATCAGTGTGTGGTGTAGCTTTAGTTAGTGGTTTATTAGATATTTAGGCTTTTACTAGCTGAAATTGTTGTTAAACATGTTGACTCCTCTTCCCTCTCCACACACCAGCTCTGGATGCTCTTTGCCCTGCTGTTTTCCGTACCACGTATCACCTTCTATTACACTGTCATGGTTTGATTGTTAGGGTTGCCTGTATCTCCCCACTAGAATGTAACTTCATAAAGACTAACTGATGGATCCCAAACCTAGAATAGCACCTGACATACATAATGTTGTTGTTGTTGTTGTTGTTGTTGTTAAAGTGGCGTGGAGTCGGTTCCGACTTATAGCGACCCTGAACAGGGTTTCCGAGACTGTAAATCTTTACGGGAGCAGAAAGCCTCATCTTTTTTCCTGCGGAAAAGCTGGTAGTTTTCAAACTGCTGACCTTGAAGTTAGCAGCCCAATTCGTAACCACTACGCTACCAGAGCTCCTTGACATACATAATAAGCTCCCAATAAATACTGACTGAGTAAATCATTGCACTAAAGAAAATTCATTTTATATGCTCTTGGCTGACGAAGGATGGAGGGAAGAAAGACAAATTAAGTAGCGTAGGCATTCCTTCATAAATTTTACTTACTATACTATTCTTTCACAGGCAGGGGGAAGGATTTGCTCTACAACTAGTGTTGTAGTATGCAACTGTTGATATTTATAATGATTTTTTAAATTATTGCTGCATAACAAAAACTCCAAACAGCCACTTAAAACAAATATGAGGTCAGGAATCCAGGAGCAGCTTAATTTAAATAGTCTAACTTGGAATCAGGATGTTGGTTGTTGTTGTTGTTATGTGCCGTGGAGTCAGTTCCGACTCATAGCGACCCTGTACGGGGTTTGCGAGGCTGTAAATCTTTACGGGAGCAGAAAGCCTCATCTTTCTCCCGTGGAACAGCTGGTAGTTTCGAACTGCTGTCCCTGAGGTTCGCAGCCCGATTCGTAACCACTACACTACCAGAGCTCCTCAGGATGTTGGTAGGGGCAACAGAATCCACGTCCAAGAAGACTAACTTGATGTGGCTGTTCACTGGAGGACTTGGTTCCTCGCTTCTCCTTTGGACTGCTCAGAACATGAATGCGGGCTTGCCTGACTGAATAGTCTGAGAGCATGCCTCCAAGACAGAAACCACATTGTCTTTACAAGAGGGCTTCTGAAAGTTAGTAGAAAAGCAAATTTAACAGAAAATGGATTTTTTCCATGAACTTTTTGAAGCTCTCTCCTAATTTAATCTCAGCAGCTGACATTATACTCCTTTGGTCGCAAATGTTACTTTTGTTTGTTATACTGTGGGAAGGGGGCAAGAATCACTGGGGACCATGATTGGAGACTTTGCCATGATAATTCTGTTATTATAAATGAATATTAGAAATTACAGAATGTGAAAGTTGTTTTCTTCCGTCTTCGTCTTCTACTTAGGTGTATATTTGCATTGACTCTGTAGACAATTGTAATCTGGTTTCCCAACATAATGACACAGACGATGATGGAGTCAGCTGGGACTCGGGATCTGAGAGCCTTGATGAAGCACTACAAAGACTTAATAAAAATACAGAGATATTACTTCCTCTCACAGATTTTAGAACAGGTATACTTAGTTTCTGAGTTACATGTGATTCCTAATAAAACTTTATTTTAGTGGGTTGAGAGACTGGGCTATCTCTAATGTTAACTTCTATAATTCACTTTACATTTATAGTGTCTTGGAATTCTCAAGTTACCCCTAAATGTTAATCTTCCTCATATTTAGATGAATACAGTGAACCAAGATAAATCTAGTAATGGGGGTGGGCCACTCAAAACTTTCCACAAAAATCAAGTTTTTTGGAAAATTGTCTTCACAACGATGATTTTGTAAACTAGAGGTTTGAGTAGTAGCTCAACATTTTTAAGTGGCGTCCTGGTGTGGGGCTGTAGGCTAAACACTGGACTGCTGACCTTAAGATCAGCAGTTCAAACCAACCAACCTTTTCTCAGAAACCCTAGAAAGGGTCACTCTGAGTTAGAACTGAGTGAATGGAACGTAACAATATGCAGACCTTAATGACAAATTTAATTACAAGCTACCTAAGTTGATGACTTTCTGGGTATTTTGGGGAAGAGGGCTTCAGATTGTTTCCTGTTCTGTAAGAATAAGACAAATTCCTACTATCTTTTTTATTTCCAGTCCACTTCTATTTAGTATATACATTTTACAAGGAAAACGCATCTAGTGACTGGTGTGTTGACAATCCCTTGTTGTATACAAAGAGTGACTTCTATGTATCTTGTCACTGTTACACATACCATTTTAGTTCGTTTTAATATTTTTATATATATTGAAGGAGGATAGTTCAGCAAAGACAAAAGAAGTGTTTTAAGGTATGAATTTGTACAAGTTGATTCCTAGGCAAATGCCTATTAAATATACATTTGAATAAGGAACTTATATTGACAATAGGAGTCTTGGTGTGGCACTGTGGGACAAAGCACTGGACCAGAGGGTTAGTTTGAACCACAAGGTTGGCCATTCAAACTCACCAGTTTCACCATGGAAACCCTGTATGGGGTTGCTATAAGTTAGAACCGACTCAGTGGCACTTAATAGCATTGGCAATTAAAAAAAAAAAAGTTACGTTCTATTTTGAGGAGATGAAACTTCACTGATTTGTTAAAGCTGGAAATAACAGTAAAATTTGGAAGCAAGTCATGATTTCCTCTGCAGAATACCTTTATTAGAGCAGCTTTTCTGCTAGTCTTTCGGTGATCTCCTACCACTAGTCAGTCAGTTTATCATTGTGTGATGGCTTGTGTGTTGTTGTGATGTTGGAAGCTCTATCACCGATCTTTTAAATACCAGAAGGGTCATCCATGGCAGACAGGTTCAGCTAAGCTTCCAGATAAAGACAGATCAGCAAGAAGGAAAGGCTGAACACTTCTTATTGATGAGCCACCGAAAACCTTCTCAATAGCACTGAAACATTTTCTAATTCAATGCCAGAAGAAGAGCCCCTCAGCTTGGAAGATACTCAATACAACTAGGGAAGAGCTGCCTCCTCAAAGTAGAGTTGACCATAATGATGTTAATAGAGAAAAGCTTTCGGGATCATCATTTGCTGATGGGGCACAATTCAAAGTGAGAAGAAACAGCTACAAGCATCCAGTGTAATTGGAATATGGAATACACAAAGTATTAATCTAGGAAAATTGGAAATCGTCAAAAATGAAATGGAATGCATAAAAATCTACATCCTTGGCATTAGCTTAAATGGACTGGTATTGGCCATTTTGAATCTGACAATCATATGGTTTACAAGACAAAAAACATCAAATTGAAGAGGAATGGCATTACATTCATCATCAAAAAGAACATTTCAAGATCTAACTTGAAGTACAATGCTGTCTGTGATAGGATAATACCCATACACCTACAAGGAAAACCATGGAGTCCTGGTGTAGTGCTATAGGATCATCACTGGGCTACTCACTACAAGGTTGATGATTCAAATCCACCAGCTGCTCCTTAGAAACCCTATACAGGGTCGCTGAATTGACTCAGTGGCACATAACACAACAATATGGAAAAGCCAGTTAATACCACTATTACTCAAATTTACACACCAACCACTAAAGCCAACAATGATTTGGGTTAATGCACTGGACTGCAAAGTTGTTTTGAACCATAAGTTTGATGGTTCAGACTACCAGTCGCTCCTCAGAAACCCTACACAGGGTCACTATGGGTCAGAACTGACTCGACGGTACTTCACAACAACCATCACCGACTTCTTCATTCTGAAATTCATCTAACATGCAATCAGAATGCATTGATAGTTACTGGGGATTGGAGTGGGAAGGTTGGAAACAAAGAGGGAAGGGTCAGTAGTTGGAAAATATGACCTTGGTGATAGAAATGGAACGGTGCTGATGTCACATAATAGAAATTTGAAAGGCCAGTGACTTCCGCATTGCTTCACCTTTTTTTTTCTTTTTAAGATTTTAGGGTTTATTTATCCTCTGGTGAAAAATCCAGTCACCGCAGAATATTTATTTCTTCTTTTTGCCAGCACCAACATTGGCCTTTGCAGTCCCCCGACTTTCTTCATTCAGTTTTTGCGTTCCTTGCACTGTTTTCTGGAGGTTTTCTTCTTCTCATACAGGCTGTGTCTTGCAAGTCTGTGTTTGGGTTCATTTTTCTTTACATAATCCAAGGAATCGTAAATCATGCCGAAGCCAGTAGTCTTGCCACCACCAAAAATGGGTTCTGAATCCAAACACAAAGATGACACCTGGTGTTGTCTTATACATTTTGGTAAGTTTTTCCCGAATTTCTGTCTTAGATACTGTTGCCTTCCTGGGGTGAAGGACATCAATGACCATTTGTTTCCGCTGAAGTAATCGGTTGGTCATGAATTTCCTTGTCCGGATAGTTACTGTGTCATTCATGATGGTGGCAGACGCTCAGATGGCCGGGAGGGAAAAAAAGTGCTTCACCTTTTTAAAGCAACATAAAAGGCAGTTGTACATTGTAATGGTAGAAGTTTTGTAACAAAAACAGGTGAGTGGTTAATCTTACAGTCCAGAAACAAGAGGACCCTAGGACCATCAAGGGAGAAGAACACAAGCAGAATGTGGGACCTTATCCAGAGAAGCAGCGACGCCAGAGATGGAGGCAGAGATAAGGACATAGAGAGAGGGAGCAGCTGAGGACTCCAGATTCATGGGAAGAGAGGGACTGAGAGCCGGTGGCTAGGAGGCAGACATGCAGAAAGTGCCCTTTGGAGGTGTAAATTATTGGACATGCCTGAGTTTGTTGTTTTTTTTTTTTTTTTAAAAAGCTAAAGTGAATATAGAGAAATACTGTTAACTGATGGTACATGGAGGGGATTATAATCATTGTAATGAAACAAAGTGTATGATTTGTTGAGTATAAAACTGATGATCTGCCCTGTAAAGTTTCACTCAATTCACAATAAAAACCTTAAAAAAAAAAAAAAAAAAAAAAGCAGCTGTACACATGGATTTCACAAGCTGGAAATCAAGTTGACTACATCTGTGGGAAGAGATGGTAGAGAAACTCAGTATCATCAGCCAAATCAAGCCCAGGGGGCAAGTGTGGAATAGACCATCAGTTCTCTTACACAAGTTCAGATTGAAACTGAGGAAATTTAAAACAAATCCACGAGAGCCAAAATATGACCTTGAATATATTCCCAGCTGAATTTAGAGACCATCTCCAGAAAAGATTTGATGCATTAGACACTGTGATCAAGAACCAGAAAAACTGTGGGATGAGTTCAAGAACATCATACAGGAAGAAAGCAAAAAGCCGTTAAAAAGACAGGAAAGAAAGAAAAGACTGAAATGGATGTCAGAAGATAAACCTGCTCTTCAGCATAGTAAAGATAAAGTGCATGGAAGAAATGGAGGAGGTAAAAGAGCTGAACAGAAAATTTCAAAGGGCAGTTCGTGAAGACAGAGTCAAGTATTTATAATTAAACGAGCAAAGACATGGATTCAGAAAGCTAAAAGCAAAAGCATGCTCAGCATTTCTCAGCTGAAGAAAAAAATTTAAGTCTCTATTTACACTATTTGAAGGATTTTATGTGGAAAATATTGACTGATGCAGAAACTATCAAAAGAAGATGGGAGGTATAGAGAGTCACTGTACCAAAAATAATTGGCCTTTGTTCAACCATTTCAACAGGAAGCATATGATCAAGAGTCAATGCTACTGAAGGAACAAGTCCAAGCTGCACTGAAGACATTGGCAGAAACACAAGAGTCTAGGAATTGATGAAATGCAAATTGAAAATTTGTAATAAACAGATGCAGTCTTGGAAGCACTCACTCATCTATGTCAAGAAACCTGGAATATAGCTACCTGGTAAACTGATTGGAAGAGATTCATATTTGTGCCCATTCCAAAGAAAGGTAGCTAACAGAATGCAGAAGTCATTGAACAATATCATTAATATCACATGCAAATAAAATCTTGCTGAAGACCTTTCAAAAACGGTTACAGCAGTACATTAACAGGGAACTGCCAGAAATTCAGACTGGATTCAGAAGAGAACTTGGAATGAGGGATATCGTTGCCGACAGCAGATGTGTCTTGGCTAAAAGCAAAGTATACCATGAAGTTGTTAACTTGTGTTTTATTGACTATTGAGATGCATTTGACAGTGTGGATCTTTACAAACATTGTGAAGAGTTGGATATTCCAGAACAATTCATTGTGCTCATGAAGAACCTGCATATAGACCAAAAGGCAATTTTTCAATCAATACAAGGGCATACTAAATGGTTTTAAATTAGGAAAAGTGTGTGCCAGGGTTGTATCCATTCACTACACATATTCAGCTCTGGTAGCGTAGTGGTTACAAATCAGGCTGCGAACCGCAAGGTCAGCAGTTCAAAACTACCAGCTGTTTCATGGGAGAAAGATGACGCTTTCTGCTCCCGTAAAGATTTACAGCCTCGGAAACCCTGTACAGGGTCGCTATGTGTCGGAACCGACTCCACGGCACATAACAACAACAACAATTCAGTCTGCTTATGGAGCAAAGCATCCGCTAAACTGAGTATAGAAAGAGCGTGACATCAGGATTGGTAGAAAGCTCATGAGCATCCTACAATATGCAGATTATACAATCTTACTTGCTGGCAGGGAAAATTACTTGAAGTATATTAATGTACTGATATAGATGAAAGACTACATATGGATTGCATTTCAATATAAAGAAAGTAAAAACCAATAAATAACTAAATCTTTTCTCCATATTTCATGATGTTATCAAAGACTTCAATTTGCTTGGACCCATAGTCAACATTCATTGAAGCAGCAGTCAGGAAATCAAGCAACATACTGCATTTGGCCGATCTGCTGCTAAAGGCCGCTTTCAGGGTTAAAGAGCAAAGATGTCAGTTTGAGGACTAAGGTGTGTCTGATCCAAGCCATGGTATTTTTCTTTTGCCTCATATGTATGTGAAAGTTGGACAAGAAGACCGTAGAATAAATGATGCATTTGATTTATGGTGTTGGGAAAGAATGTTGAAAGTATTATGGACTGCCAGAAGAACAAATTTTTCTTGGAAGAAGTGCAGCTAGAATGCTCAGACTTGGAACTGTTATATGGAGAGACCAGTCCCTGGAGAAAGATGGGAGGGTCAGTGAAAAAAAGGTTGTTGTTATTGTTGTTGTCAGGTGCCATCGAGTCGGAACCGACTCATAGCGACCCCATGCACAGCAGAACGAAACAATGTCCGATCCTGGGCCAACCTCACTACCGCTGCCACACTTGACGCCATCAATGATGCCACCTGGCCAATCCATCTCATTGGGGGTCTTCCTCTTTTTCTCTGACCCCTCCACCTTACCCAGCACGACATCCTTCTCCAGCGACTGTTCCCCCGGACAATGTGTCCAAAGTAGGGGAGACGAAACTTAGCCATCCTGGCCTCCAAGTGCAACTCTGGTTGCACTTCTTCCAAAACAGATCTATTGGTTCTTTTGGCAATCCACAGCACTTTCATTGTGGATGTCCAATGGATCTTGGCTGAAAGCAGAGAATAACAGAAGGATGTTTATCTATGCTTTATTGACTACGCGAAGGCTTTTGGTTGTGTGGATCATAACAAGCTATGGACAACATTGAGAAGTATGAGTATTCCTGAACACTTAATTGTACTTCTGAGAAATCTGTACCTGGATCAAGAGGCAGATGTTCTAACAGAGCATGGGAACATTGAATGTTTTAAAATTGGGAAAGGTGTGCGACAGGGTTGTGTTCTTTCACCATACTTGAAAAAGAGGTAGACTTCCAATTAAATGAATTGACACAGTGACTGGAATAATGTGCTCAAACGTAACAATTATGAAGATGATGCAGGACTGGGCAGTGTTTCGTAGGAACCAACTCGATGGCGCCTAGCCTACTGATTATCTTCTCTGTATGTAAAAGAATTAATATTTATAGTTCTTTAATAAAGCTCATTAAAAATAAAAATATTCGAGCATTATTGTCATATACAGTTTTAAATGCCCCTTTCTCATTGATACTTATTTTTCTGTGTAAATTACATAGACTGTGATGACATCATGAAAAGAGGAGTCGAAGTGTAGTACAGGATAAGAATCAGCTCTTTCCCATCTATTCTGAAATCTTACAGAGTGTAAGAAGGGAAGGGAGGTACACACTATGTTAACCTTCTCCAATTCTCCAAGCCTAGCATTCATTAGAAAATATTTCACTTGCTTGTGGCAACACATGATAAGGAAATGTGGTAGCAGTTGGTTGGGAGGATACTGAAGGAACCTATAATTTGCAGTGCTAAGGATCTCATACTGCAAGTGGTTAAAATGCCACTGAAGAATTTCAAACAGTAGAGAAATGCACTGAATTTTTAAAATTCTGATGGTCTTATATAGAGAATGGATTGGAGGAAGACAGAGCTAAAGGCAGTAACAGTGGAAACCATTGTATCTTCCTGTGCAAAGGATGATGACTTAAACTAGAAGAGGGTTGGATAGTCCTTAAAAAGTAGGGGTAATCGGAAGAAAGAGTAAGCCATGATGGGAGAATTGCTTCTCTTCAAAGCTTAATTCTTAAGATTTTAACAAAAACAACTTTTTTAAAACAGAAAAAAGGAGAAGCTAACATATAGCCAACTATTGAGTGCTTAATTCTGGATGGTGGGCAGATTGCACTTTCTATATTTAAAAACATCTGTTTTAGAGAAAATAGAAGGTAATACAATATTTTTCTTTTTTGTCTCCCTAGAAATGCCTTGCTTTGCAGAATATGATGATGGTTTATGGTATAGAGCAAAGATTGTTTCCATTAAAGAATTTAATCCTCTGGCTGTCCTGGTACAATTTGTTGATTATGGCTCAACTGAAAAGCTGACAACAAACAGGTAAAAAGGGAAAAAAAAGTTGAATTATGAGGATGCTTAGTTTTCATTTTTATCTGTCTATATTGGGAAGATTTTCTTCCTAAAAGAATAAAACCGTTCTCTTCAGTCTTTTATATTAGAAATTGAATATCTAGCAGAGCAGTTATAATGCAGCAGTACTTCATCTATCATAAACTGGCTCTGTAAGGGACACACTGCATTGGGTTGTGGTATATTCAAACCTAGGATAGTCACAGCATCCTCATCATTGCAAACAGACTCAATGCCCAGTAGGAATCACTACCCACTGATCCTTTCTCCAGCTCCTAAAGACCACCAGTCTGCTCTCTGTTGTATTTGTCTGAATATTTTGTACATTTTAAAAGGAGCCCTAGTGGCATACAGTGGTTAAGCACTCAGGAGCTCGCTGAAAAGTCAGCAATTCAAAGCCAGCAAACCACTCATCAGGAGAACAACGTGGCAGTCTGCTTCCATAAAGATTACAGCCTAATGCCATAGCCACTCGGATGACTGTAATCAGTAACATGGAAAATAAGCTTTGTAGAAGGTGTGAGAAAGTAGAAGCTTCAAATATTGTTGGTGGGAACATGCTGGAAAACAGTTTGGTAGTTCATCAAAACAATGACTCAGTAATCCAATGCTAAGTATGGTTTCAAAGCTATTCCACTCTGACTTTTGGGTCACTGAGTCAGAATTGACCTGACAGCAATTTGTGTTTGGACACTTCACAGAAGCAGAATCATGATTGACCTCTTATGCTTAAGAGTAAAGTTTACAAAGTTCATCCATATTGTAGAATGTATCAGAGCTTCATTTCTTTTTATGCTGAACGATACGCCATTGTATGCATAATAGTGTGTTTTATCTCTTCATCAATTGTTGGACATTTGGATTGTTTCCACTATTTGGCTATTAATAATTTTGTTATGAACATCCATGTATAAATTTTCTGTGAGGATATAATGCTTTTATTACCCTTTAGTATCTACGAGTGGACTACTGAGTCATATGGTATCTTTCTGTTTAGGATTTGGAGGAATAGTTTGGTGGTTGCCCCATTTTATATTCCCACCAGCAATATTAAAAGTTTCTGATTTCTTACATCCTCTCTATAAAACTTCCTATTTTCCATTTTCTTGATTATAGATGTTGTTAGTAGTTATCAAGACCACGTGCAGAAAAATGATATAGGATTCAGACAAGCACAACATACCCACAAGAAAGAAAAAAAAAAAAAAAATGGATGAAGGACCTAGCTCTGAAAAGTAAATCATAAAATGATTACAAGAGAAAGCAAGGGCAACTCTGTTAGCTCTAACTTTTAATCATAGAATATCTGATATAATAGTACAAACAGCAAAAGACAAAATAAATGGGACCTCGTTAAAATGAAAAAACTTGTTCATCAAAAAAGCTACCAAAAAAGTTAAAAGATAAGCTGCTTTATTAAACCTTTTATTGTGACTTGAGTGAGGATTTACAGAAGCAGAGCATCCGTTTTAAAGTCAGCAGTTCCTGCACTGTGTTTGATCTCAGTGATTGCGACCCCTTCAATGTAAAATCCCTTATCCCACTTCCCCGTCTATCTTTTTTCCATTCCTCTTTCTTTCCCCACCCTTCTGAATTTTGTCCCTGGATAAATGCTACCCTTCTGATTTTGAATGGTTGGCCATCCTAAGTTGTGCATACCTCACTAGTGTTGTTGAAAACTCAGCCCGAGGGGTGAGTTCAGCTCCAGACTTGAAGGGTGGCCAAGGGCCATAGTCTCAGGGTTCCATCAGTCTGTGTCTGACCAAGAAGCTTGGTATTTTTTACGACTCTGAGTTTTGTTTCACATCTTCTTCCACTCTATCCAGGACCTTGTAATATGATGCATTTGTGAGCAGTTGGGCTTGGTAGCAGGGTCTTCCTTATTCACTGTCCGTGTGGCCTCTGAATCTTGAACATTGATGCTCCCTTTTCCATTAGTCCATTGAATTCATTGTTTCCAAGTGTTTTCAGGTTTCTTTTCTTTCCTCTGCACAGGGAGAGATCAATTAGTTGCACCTTAAAGAGCCACTCATGAGCTTAGATCTCAGATGCTGCTCACCAAAGTAGACTGTAGAATATTGTCTTTGTGGGCTCTGTTAAGCAAATTAACCGTGCTGTCCTCGAGTATATGGTCCTTAGGCTCCAGGCCCAGCAACTCATTCCTTCAAGGTATTTGGTAATGTCTAAAAAGGTTTCATATTTTTACCTCCTGTAACGGCAACATGTTCCACCATTTTCATGGCTATGTTTGCAACAAAGGTAAGTACCATGTACAAACATCCTCTGACAGCCTGTATATATTTGTGCGTGTGTTCCCACTCTCCCTCCCATACCTCTTCAGTCTGTGTATGTATCCATGTATTTACCTGTTGTTAAGTGCCATCGAATTGGTTCTGATTCATTGCGACCAAGCCATGGTATTATCAGTAACCTCATATGTGTGTGAAAGCTGGACAGTGAATAAGGAAGACCGTAGAAGAATTGATGCTTTTGAGTTACAGTGTTGGAGGAGAATATTGAAAGTGCCATGGGCTGCCAAAAGAACCAATAAATCCATTCTGGAAGAAGTGCAGCCAGAGTGCTCCTTGGAGCCCAAGATGCCCTAACTTGGTCTCTCATACTTTGGACATATTGTCAGGAGGGTCCAATTGCTGGAGAAGGATATCATGTTTGGTAAGGTGGAGGGTCAGAGAACAAGAGGAAGACCCCCAACGAGATGGATTGGCCAAGTGGCAGCATCGATGGTCTCAAGCGTGGCAACAATAGTGAGGTTGGCCCGGGATCAGACAGTGTTGCGTTCTGCTGTGCATATGGTCGCTGTGGGTTGGCACCGACTCAGTGGCATCTAGCAACAACAAAATAAGGTTTCTGAGGCACAACTGGTGAGTTTGAACTGCTGACCTTGAGGTTCAAACTGACCTTATGAGTGTTTATTCTATAACACCACACCAGGTTTCCTGTATTTACCTGTTGTTTTTGTTAAGTGCGGTCAAGTCGGTTCTGACTCTTAGCGACCCTGTCTGTATACTGCTTCCGAGGAGTGACTTGTGCGTTTGAACCTCTGACCTTTCGGTTCAAACTGAACTTGCGGTCTAGTGGTAATCCTCCAGCAGTGCACCAGGACTCCTTTGTATCTGTAGATCACGGTCAGTGTGAGACTGTGGCTATAACAGTACTTCTCTCTGCTCCCTTTCCTTCTTGCACTACTCCCTGTGTCTTGTGCTTTCATCATTCTACTGTCTACTTCTCTCTTATTGTATGTTACTTTCCCCTCACCCAAATTAACACATACCTGCCCTCTAGGAGTCTTGGTGTAGGGCTACAGGATAAACATTTGACTGCTAACCACAAGATTGACAGTTCAAACATATCAGTTGCTCCCGAGAATTCCTATACGAAGTCACTATGAGTCAGAAGTAACTCATGGCACTTAACAACAATAAAAACCCTCTAGCCAGTAAATTATTTCCCTTACTTCCCATCCCTGGTAACCTTCAAATACTATCTCTTTTAGCGTGAAAACCTTCTCTTGACTTCTTATAATTGTGATCTCACACAGTATTTGCCCATTTGTGATTTGCTAATTTCATTCAACATAATGTCCTCCAGGTTCACCTGTGTTACAAAGTGTTTCACAAAGTCTATTCTTCCGTTGATGGGCATTTACGTTGTCTCTATCTTTTGGCAGTTGTAACTAGTGCAGCGGTAAACAGTGGTGTGCGTATATCTGTTTGTGTCATGGCTCTTATTTCCCGGATTACTGGGTCGGTTTGTACTGCCAACTTTTTAAGGACGCACCATACCATTTCCCACAGTGGTTGCACAATTTTCCAATCCCATTGATGGTGTATAAGGGTTCCCATCTTTCCACACACTCTCCAGCATTTGTTATTTTCTGTTATTTTTTAAAATGTTGCTATTAAGGCTGGGGAAGAGATACTTCCCTACTGACTGGGAGAGTATCAAAAGCCATATATCTGACAAGAATCTAGTAACTGAAAAAATATGTAAATTACAGCAACAAAAAGAAAAATAGCATAATCATAAAACAGGCAAAGGATTTGAATAGGCATTTTACCAAAAAGGGCATTTAATTGGCTACCAAACACATGTAACGATGCTCAGTGTGATTAGCCATCAGAGAGGTGCATTCAAAACCACAGTGACATACCACTTCATCTCCCACCAGGGTGGTTAAACATTTAAAAAATAATAACAATGAAAAATGACTATTGGCAAGGATGTGGGAGAAGAGGTACTCTTTTCCATTGCTAATGGGAATGCCAAATGGTACAGCTAAATGCAAATTGGTGCTGTTGTAGAAAAGAGTGTGGTCCTTCCTCAGAAAAAACCTAAAAGTAGAACTACCATATAAGCCAGCAATTCCACTCCTAGGTATAAAGCCATAAGACTTAAAAACAGTGACTCAAACCCCAACCAAGGCACCAGTGTTCATTGTAGCACTATTCACAACAACCAACAACCGGAAACAGTGTGAATGCCCAACAACAAATGAATGGATAAACAAAATTGGACATACAAAACAGTAGAATGCTACTCAGCCAATAGGAGCAAATGAGCCTTGATACATGCTGCGGTGTGCATAGAGCTTGACAACCTGCTCAGGAAATAAGGAAATCTTAAAAGAACAAGTACAAGGGGTCTTCAGAAATATTTTGGAAAATTTGGTAGATAATGCAGTTTTTCCACAGACTTTTTTAAAGCCCCTCATATTTACAACCCCACTATTTAAAAATGGAGACACCTGGTGTGGCGCTGTAGGATCAGCACTGGACTTCAAACCACAAGATTGGCGATTCAAACCCACCAACTGCGCCACGAAAACCCTTTACCAGGGTCACTATTAGTTGGAAATGACTCGATGACGCTTGACAACAGCAAAAAATATAAAAAGACATGAACAGGCAAATGTATACAAACCCAGGTTTATTAGCGATTACCTGTGGCAGGAGCCACTACTTGTCTGTCAGTGAGCCATGGTGGCTTGTGTGTTCCTGTGGGCTGGAAGCTATGCCACTAGTATTGTAAATGCCAGCGGGCAATCATGATGAACAGCTTTCACTGGAGCTTCTAGACTAAGAATAGAAAGTAGTAGGAGGGTGAAGCACTTCTGACTGGGCCTTGTGAATAGCAGTGAAAGATTGTTTGATGCAGTGCCAGAAGGTTGAAAACAGTCAGAGTACAACTAGGGAAAAGCTGCTCCTCAAAGTCAAGGTGGTTTTATTGCTGTGGCTGCAGCAAAGTTGTCAGGACCGTCATTTTCCACTGGGTCATGAGGAACCTGTATATAGACCAAGAGGATACTGAATGGTTAATATCAGGAAAGCTGTGTATCAGGGTTGTATCCTTTTACCGTACTTAATCAATTTGTATGCTGAGCAAATAGATAATCTGGATTATATGAAGAAAGACATGGCATCAAGATTGGAAGAAGACTTACTAATAACCTGAGATATGCCGACAACACAAGAGGACTTGAAATTCTTACTAATGAAGATCTAAGTCAGTAGTCTTCAGTATGGATTATACCTCAATATAATAAAGAATAAAAGTAAAAAATCCTCACCACGGAACCAGTAAACACATCATGATAATTGGATCCACAATCAAGGCTCAGGGAAGCAGCAGTTAAGTAATCAAATGACATAATTGTTGCAGTAGGTGAATCTGTTGCCAAAGATGTTTTTGAAGTGTTAAAGAGCAAAGATGTCAGTGGAGGAAGAATGTGCATGTGACTCAAGACATGGTATTTTCAGTAGCCTCATATGCATGTAAAAGTTGGACAATGAATAAGGCAGACCAGACCATAGAAGAATTAATGCATTTGAATTATGGTGTTGATGACAACTATTGAAAGTACCATGAACTGCCAGAAGAACAAATCAATCTGTCCTGTAAGAAGTGCAGCCAGAAGTTCCTTAAAAGTAAACATGGCAAAGCTTCGTCTCGTGTTTTGGACATGTTATTCTGGGACTTTTGCAGTTTCATTAGCATTTTAGTGATTATTTTGCAAATTTCTGCAAAAAAAAAAAAACAACTTGGGTTTTAAATGTGAATTATATTAAATGTGTACCATATTTTTTATGCAAATAGTACACACACATTATAGTTGTTTTTAAACAGCCCAACTCCCTCGTTCCTTACTTTCCTATTATCAGCATCATATGCATATGCATGTTATGTATGTGGTGTGATACATATGAAAACAATAACAATAGTAGGTCCAAATTGTAGAGTAGTGCCTTCTTCACAGGATTAAGCCTTTTGATCCATATTCATAGGTTGTCTTTCCTTAATACCATCTTTATATCCTTAATGACATCTTTAATAATTTTGAATGATGTTTTGTAGTTTTCAGTGTACAAATCTTGCCATTTTGTCAGCTTTATTCCTAAGTATTTCATTATTTTTGAACAATGGTAAATTGAATTGATTTGTATGAGAGTAAATCAAAAAGTATTGCTGCAAAGTCATAGAAACTAAAATATTAAAATGAGAAGCCATTGTTTTCTACATATTCTCCATCTGTGTCTATCACTTGTGAAGACATTGTTGTCATCTCTCTAACTCTTCCTCAAAGAATTCTGCGCTATTCCATTTATACCACATCAAAACAGCAGTTTTGTCATGTTAGAGGAAATTAATCATGTTCCTTTTATATGTTCTTTGAATTTTAAAAACAAGTCCAAGTTTGAAGGGCTGTAGAGTAGTGCCATGGGCTGCCAAAAGAACCAATAGATGTGTTTTGGAAGAAGTGCAGCCAGAGTGCTCCTTGGAGGCCAGGATGGCTAAGCTTCGTCTCTCTTACTTTTGTCAGGAGGGAACAGTCGCTGGAGAGGGATGTCATGCTGGGTAAGATGGAGGGTCAGAGAGGAAGAGGAAGACCCCCAATGAGATGGATCAGCCAGGTGGCATCATCAATGAACTCAAGTGTGGCAGCGGTAGTGAGGTTGGCCCAGGATCGGACAATTGTTATGTTCTGCTGTGCATGGGGTCGCTATGAGTCGGTTCCGACTCAATGGCACCTGACAACATCAAAGAGTAGTATAAGCTGGGCTGTAGAGTAGATGGGGTGAAGTTTGCCAATGAAATTCTCATAGGACAGTCCTTGCTACCCTTGAAGAATGAGCAGGTACATTGTTGTGATGGGGGAAAAAATTCCTTGGCATAACTTTGTCCTTTTTCTCACCAATGCAGTTTTTAATTTTCTGAAAGCTTAACCATAATGAGCCCCCGAAATCATACTGTTTCCTTCAAGAAAATCCAACAGGGTGATCTTTTGGAATCCCAAAAAAACAGTCACCATTATCTTTCTGAACTTACCTCTCTGACTTTTATTCATCTTTAAGGTCTTCTTGACCTTCCTTAAAAAGCTTGAGCCATCTAAAAATAGTTCTTTGTGGTGCAGCATTCCCATGAATTTGTTAGGAAGCTTCAAAGATTTTAGAAGATGTCCAGTTGAGTTTTGTTAAAAATTTGCTATTAACTGTGACCTCAGAATTGCTTTTTTATGGCAAAAAAGTATCCTGTTTTTTGAAGGCACTCTATCAAGAGTAAGACAAGTGTGTTACTGAGAGAACTGAACTGCAACCATCCACTGATCAGAGACAAGTTTAAGCACGTTTTCTTTAGAAAAAGCCCTTGCATGTATGAGCTGGAACCCCCTGTAGCAATACTTTTTGACTAACCCTAATAGATGAGAATTTTAATTGTGACATTCTAAACATCTTAAGTTCTTTTTTTGCAGACTGCGTCAAATTCCTCTTCACCTTATGCAGTATCCAACCCGAGCCATAAAAGTTCTCTTGGCAGGATTTAAACCTCCCATAAAAGATTCAGGCAAGACAAGAATACCATATTGCCCCAAATGGAGCATGGAAGCATTGTGGGCTTTGATAGACTGTCTTCAGGGAAAACAACTTTATGCATCTTCCATGGTAAATCATTGTTTAGCCAAAATTCTTTTGAAATTATTTCTAGGCTTCCTGTTAACATTGTAAGTGCTTTATGTCTCTGCAATGCTAGATACAAAATTATAGTTGGTTAAAGTATACAAAGATGTACATGCTATAAAATAAGCCTTATTAAAATAGTCATATACTTTTATATTTAACAAACTTACTAGCAGTCAGATATCAAATAACATATTGCATTTGTCATATCTACTGTAAAAGACCTCTTTAAAGTGTAAAAGAACAAAGATGTCACTTTGAGGAGTAAGGTGCACCTGACCCAAGGCATGGTGTTTTCAGTTGCCTCATATGCATGTGAAAATGAATGTGGAAGATAGTAGAAGAATCAGTGAATTTGAACTATGGTGTGGGAGAAAAGTAATGAAAGTACCATGGACTTCCAGAAAAACAAATTGTCTTGGAAGAAATACAGCCAGAATGCTCTTTAGTAATTAGGATGGCAAGACTTTGTCTCTTGTTCTCTGAAGTTGTCAGGAGGAACCAGTCCCTGGAGAGAGACATCATGCTTGGTATGGTGGAACGCCACCGAGTCAAAGAGCTCGAATGCTCTGGAGTGACACAGTGGCAGCAACACTGGGCTCAGACAACCACAGTGGTGAGAATGGCCCAGGACCAGGCAGTGCTTTGTTCTGTTGTGCATAGGATCACCATGAATTAGGACCAACCTACAGCATCCAACAACAACCACCTTACTAACCTTGCAGTAATATATCACTCATATAATGAATAAGATAAAAATGATCAAGAAGAGTATCCTATGAGGGAGCCATGTAAATATGTAATTGAATTGAAATGTATACCATAATTGAGATATAGACAACTTTTCCATGGGGGAAAGAGAGACAAGGAAGAAGTATTATTTCCTTCTGGAAAGATCAGGAAATTGCTCCTGAACTTATACTTAGTAGACACTGAAACAGTAAATAAATAAATACAGGGAAAGAGATATTTGAGCTGCATCATGAAAGATGAGAAATTGATGGTCTCTTATACAGTCTATCCTTGGTCTTGTTTTGGCTGATGATATGAAGCTTCTCCACTGTCTCTTTCCACAGATGTAGTCAGTTTGATATCTGTGTATTCCATCTGATGAGCTCCATGATAATAGTCGTCTTTTATGTTTAAAAAAGGCATTTGCAATGAACAAGTTACTGGTCTTAAAAATTTTTATTATGGTAGCTCTAGTATCATTTCTATCAACAAGGCCATATTTTTCAATTACTAGCCTTTTTATTTGTTTCCAGCCTTTGCATTCCAGTCACCAATAATTATTATCAGTACATCTTGATTCATGTTTGATCAGTTTCAGACTGAAGATGTTGATAAAATTCTTCAATTTCATGGTCACTAGCTTTAGTGTTTGATGCATAAATTTGAATAATATTTATAGTAACTGGTCTTCCTTGCTGTTGTTGTTAGGTGCCATCAAGTCGGCACCGACTCATGCAACCCTGTGCACAACATAACAAAGAACTGCCTGGTCCCATGCCAACTTCAGAATCATTGCTAAGGTTGAGCCCACTGCTGCTGCCACTGTGCCAATCCATCTCATTGAGCGTCTTCCTCTTTCCCTGCAACCCTCCACTTTACCAAATATGATGTCCTTCTCCATGAACTGGTCCCTCCTGACAGTATGTCTGTTGTATGAGAGACAAAGTCTGGCCATTCTGGCTTCTAAGGAGCATTCTGGCTGTACTTTTTTTGTTGTTTTAAAGTTTTATTGTGAATTATGTGATAGTTTACATGGGAGAACATTAATTTTACATTTATCCTATCATATATTATTTCATTGCCATGGTTACAGTCCCCTCCATGCATCATCAACACAGCTCTTCTCCCTCCCTGAGTCCAGTGTCCCCAGCCGCTCCATCTGTCCATGTCATCGTCTCTGTCTCCATCCCTGGCGTCACCGCCTCTCTGGGTAGGGTCCTGCTCTCTGTTCTTACTTGATGGTCCTGGGGACCTCC